GGGGGCGCCTGGGTGGCTCAGATGGTTAAGCATCTGCCTTCGGCTCAGGTCATGATCCCAGGGTCCTAGGACTGAGCCCCACATCAGGCTCCTGGCTCAGCGCGGAGCCTGCTTCTCCCTCTCCCTTTGCCTCTTCCCCTGCTCAAGCTCTCTATCTCTGTGTCTCAAATGAATAAATAAAATCTTAAAAAAAAATAATAATAACTATCATCACATTAAGGAAGTTCCTGCAATGATTGTTTTCTTGTTTTTTAAAATAATGAATGGGTGTTAAACTTAAAAAGTATTTTTTTCTGCATCTTCTCCAAATTTATACTTTCAATACCAATTGCTCTAGACTAAATGTTTGTGACGCCTCAAAATCTGTATGTTGATGCCTAATCTCCAATGTGTTTGCATTTAGAGGTGGAGCCTTTGGGAGATGATTAGGTCATGAGGGCAGAGCTCTTAGGAATGGCATTAGTGCCTTTATAAAAGAGACCTTGAGGGGCGCCTAGGTGACTCAGTCAGTTAAGCGGATGCCTTCGGCTCAGGTCATGATCCCAGGGTCCTGGGATTGAGCCGAGCATCGGGCTCCCTGCTCTGCAGGAAGCCTGCTTTTCCTTTTCCCACTCCCCCTGCTTGTGCTCTCTTTCTCTCTGTCAAATAATTAAATAAAATCTTAAGAAAAGAGAGAGAGAGAGACCTTAAGAGATCTCCCTTGCCCCTTCGGCCCTGTGAAGACACAGTTAGAAGACAGCCATCTAAGAGTCAGGAAGTGGGATCTCACTGAATACAAAATCTACTGGCACCACTTACCAGCCTCCAAAACTGTAAGATAAATGACCCCATGTTTATAAATCACCCTATGTTTGGTATTCCAACAGCCCGAACAGACTGGAGCACTAATCTTAATAAAAATGCCAGTCAGTATATGAGAGTATAAATTAGTATAACACATAGAAAAACCAATGGCCTTACATACTAAATTGGTATATATATGCATACCTTATGAAATCACAATTCCACTGTTCAGTGCAATGCTAGCATATGTATACCATGTATAAGAATGCTTACAGCAACATTATTTGCAATGGTGCCTATACAGAAAAAGAGTTAATACAGCAGGTTTAAAACCGATATCCTAAGAAAAGGGTGCTTACAAGGTTGGGCCACTGGCTGGAATCTATGAAATTGGCTGATAAAGTTTCCCATATGGATGTAAAACCTTCCCTAACCAAAAAGGTAGAAGCATCCCAGGGATGCAACAACAGATGAATGGACAAGCAAAATATGGTATATGCCTGCAATAGAGTATTTTCAGCCTTAAGAAAGTAGAAACGGCGCCTGGGTGGCTCAGATGGTTGGGCGTCTGCCTTCGGCTCAGGTCATGGTCCTGGAGTCCTGGGATCGAGTCCCGCATCGGGCTCCCTGCTCTGCGGGGAGCCTGCTTCTCCCTCCCCCTCTGCCTCT